ATCTGTTGATGGACTTACGGGCCGCTTCCGAGATTTAGCAATTATGAATTGTGCTGCTATAAACATGGTTACACATGTATCACCATAATGTGATACCTTTAACTCTTTCGGAAAGACACCTAGAAGAGGAATAGCTGGGTCAAGTGGGATTTCAATTCTTAGTTTTTTGAAGATTACCCACACTGATTCCTGTAGTGTTTGTACTAGTTTACATTCCAATAATGTAGAAGGTTGCCTTCTCTATGGATAGGCAGGATGAATTTCGTCCAAATGGACTTACCACCAAAATTTACAGATTTAATGTAATCCTGATAAAAATACCAACAGCATTTTTTCACAGCAAATTCATATGAAGCCAGAATAAACCCAGAACAAAAAAAAATAATCCTGGGCAATGAGACAGCTCTAAGCTTCATGTTGTCAAGAAAGCTACAGTGAGGAAAGCAGTATGGCACTGCCACAAAAACAGACCCGGGGGCCAGTGGAGCAGGATGGAGGTGCAGAAAACCCCAGGCACACTCAGCTGTCTGACCTTTGACAAAGGGGCCAAAAACACATGCTGGAGGAAAGGCAGCCTCTGTAACAAATGATGCCAGTAAAATAGCCATTCACACGCAGATGATTACAGCTAAACCCACGTCTCTTACTATGTACTAAAATAAAATAAAATTTATCAAATATCTAAATATGTGAACATAAATAATCTGCTGCAAGATGAAATAGAAAAAAGCTCTCAAAGTCATAGGCAGAGGCAAAGACTTTGCTGAGCAGCACCCCCATTGCACAAGAAGTGACATCAAGAATCAACAAATGGGATCATACCAAATCAAAAAGCTTCTGCACAGCAAAGGACCAACCCAAGAGAGAAGAGAAAGCCTACTGAATGGGGAACATTTTTGCCAGCCATTCCTCGGACAGAGGACTAATTATGTAGACTACATAAAGAACAAATCTTAACATCAAATAAAAAATTAACCTACAAATGGGTCACTTGCCCATGACATTAGTCCAGTTTTAATCCCATTGTTTGGAGGGGCGCTGCTGGGAGCTGACCTGAAGGGCCTCATGCTTACTAAACATTCGCTTTCCATTTGAGGCACACCGCAGCCCCTGCCTCAGAGTTGTACAAAAGTTTCCAGACACCATTGTTTCCTATTGACATTATAGAGGCCTTGGGAGGTCACAGTGCATCTTCATTCTTGTATGCTAGGCTTTTTGGGATACTACATTATCTAGCTTTGTTGCTATCTATAGAATTCAGGTTACATTCACCCCGTTTTTTGTATCCATTGGAAATATGAAGAAAATAAAAAATAATATTGCCACTTGCACCATTCTTGAAAGAATTTATTTAGAACTTTATATAAAATTCTGTCATGGCCTGGGAAGATATTACTCCACACCAGTGCCATGTCTCATATTTACTCTGGGAGCAGAAGGCTTCTTCCAGCTCACCAGCTTTTGTTTTGCTGGGTTTCTTGGCCACAGATCTGATTTTCCTGCTTTATAGCCTCACTGTACATTTTCAGGTTTTTATTTCCTGGCTTAGAAGTGTTTTCTCTATGTGACTGAAGGAAAAAGAGACTTCAAAATACAATCTTTCAGGCTGCACGTTGTGGTGCACAACTATAAGCCCAGCACTTGAGAGGCTGAGGCAGGAAGATCTCTGTGAGTCTGAGGCCAGCTTGGGCTACATAGCAAGTTCAAAGGCAGCCTGAGACCCTGAGCCAGAGGAAGAGCTTGTTGCAAAAAAAAAATCTCTTGAGGCTGAATTAACTTAAATCTGAAATATGTGTTATTTAACTTTCTGTCTCTGCAACACTTACCATAGTTCACATATGAGGAAAAAAAGTTTACTTTGGCTCACGGTTTTAGAGACGTCATTCATGATGTGTTGGCCCCATGGCACTGGGCCTGTGGCACCATGTTGTGGCAGTAAAAGAAATCATCTTATGCTGAGAAGCACAAGAAAGAGGCCAGCATTCCACTGTCCTACTGGAAGGCACGTCCCCAGGTACTCGGGTTTCTCCAAGCAGACTCCCTCGTAACAGTACCACGCTGGAAACCAAGTCAGACCTCGGGAGACAGCCCAGATCCAATGACAGCAAGATTCCATATAGTTCAGGTCTAAAATTCTCGCAAAATTTCTATGCACGCTGGGCTTGTGGGAGGTGATTGGTCATGGAGTGCTGCCCTTATGGGTGGACTAATTCCTTAAAGAGTTCACAGATGAATCTGCGGTCAGGAGACGGGATGTGGCGGGAAGAGGCGGGCCACTGGGGTGGTGACAGCTCTTCCCTGTTCCTGCTACCTGGCTATTGTGGGCTTAGCCGCTTTGTCCACCAAGCACTTCTGAGTGGAGCCAGGTGACCACGACTGAGACCTCTGGAGCTGTGAGCCGCATAAGCCTCTCCTCCTTTAAGTTGGAGGTGCCAAGTATTTTGTCCTAATGGCAAAAAAGTGACCAACACATTTCCATATGCAGTACAGCAAATCAGTGAATATCAAGAACTTCGATAAACTCCAGGATCTGAGGGTTTTAAGGAAAGACATCCTCCAATAAACAACTCGGGGGAGTCTAAGTGGGTGCAACTATTTAGGAAAGGAATTTGGGAATACCTACCAAAGTTTTAATTTGCATCCTTTTTTATATAATAGTTCATAATATATCTTACAGCATCCAGAGTAACTTACACATCAAAGGGCACGTTAAAATATTTACTACTTACAAAAGGAAAAGAAACTTGCCAGAAGCCTATCAAAAAGAGACCAGCTGAATAAAGGGTGACATTTCCAAAAGCTGGAATGCTACACAGCCTTAGAAAGGGTAGATCAGTATACACATACAGACGTGGACACAGTTACAAGGTGTTACTGATAAAGACACAATGGCATCCTGCTCCTGTAAGATGACTCCAGAATCCATTCAAGGAGCAGTTGGAAAACGTTAATTATAGTAATTAGAAGTAAGATAAGAGACACCACTACATCTACAGCCTTTCACACTGTTTGCTGCTTGATTAGCACATCAGTAACTCTGCTTATATTCTAAAACTTTCCTTTCCTTGCAGGTAGCAGTATAAAATGGGGCAGGTGCTCTGGCAGAGAGGCTTGAGCTTCTTTAGAAAATTAATACACGGGAGCAACTTGTGGCTCAGGAGGGCTCACACGGCCTGCTCAAAGCTCTGGCTTGATCCCAGCACCACGAGGTAAAAGGTAACCGCATGATTACCATGCGATCCAGAAATTACACCCATGATCATATATCCCAGGTATATGCACCTTCACTGGTATATGCATGTTCATATATAACTGTACCATGATTTAGTAGCTCCAAATTGGAAACAATCTAAATGTCCAATAAATGGTTAAACTGTGACACAACAGTACCAGGCACTACTTCGGGGTGACCTGTGATAAGCACACATCAGGTCAGATGGATCTTGATGCAATTATGCTGAGTTGAAGAAAAATCAATCCCCAAAGCCTACATACTGTGTAATTCCATTGTATCTCTCTTTAAATGGTAAAATTATAGAAATAGAAAAAATACCTTAGTGGATACCAAGAAGACTCAGGAAGATAAAACAGCAACCATGAGGGGTATTTATGACAATGTAACTCTTCTGTCATTCAGTTACGATCATGAACACATAAAACTATATGCGTGATAAGATTGCATACAAACACCCCCACGAGTGCATGCATACTTTCCTTAGGAAAGGAATTTGGGAATACCTACCAAAGTTTTAATTTGCATCCTTTTTTATATAATAGTTCATAATATATCTTACAGCATCCAGAGTAAAGGGAAAATTCGTAAATCATGAAATTCTAAACCAGGTAAGTGGACTGAATTAATGTTCACTTCCTGATTGTGATATCATAACACAGTTTTTCCAAATGTTGCCCGTGGGAAAACCAGTAAAGGGCACACTGCTTCTCTCTATAATAGTTCTCACAATGCCATGCGCCTGTGTACAATTATCCCCCAAAAGTTTAAGAACTCAGGCTTTTAGAAGATTAGTTTTGTTCTCTAAGCAGATTTCATAAATTATTTTTGATACGTCATTATAAATATTTCATATATTTGGTTTCCATTACAAATTATATTTTCTATTGCCTATTATATTTTCTAAGTTGTTCTTACTGGGTTAAAGGCATAGAATTCATTTCTATTACTAGCGCCTATTTTATTAGATAATATTATTTGTTCTCAGATTGTCAGTTGAGCCTCTTTTGCTATGAGTTTTCAATGTAAGTAGTACTGAGTGTTTTAATATCATTTTAATGAATGTATTGAGCAAATCATAACAGTTTCTTCCTTAATGTGTATTTAGGTAGTAAATTACACTGGTGAATTTCCTGATAATGAAAACAATAATGTGATGTTAATCATTTCTGATGGCATTCTTGTTCCCTAGAATAAACTCCTCATAATCATTTTGTTTCATTAAGTTAAAAATACACTATTGGGTTCCATTAGCTAACATTCAGTCTCTGATTTCTCAAAGTATGTGTACCCATGAAATCAGTTTGTCATTTTCCTAGCTTGTAATTTACTGCTCTGTTTTGGCCCCAAGGTTATTAACAAGGTTACAAAGTGAGTTTGGAAGTTTATTTTCAAGTTGTTCTCAGCAATAGATTGTGTGAAATCAGGCTACACTTCCTGAGTGTGTGTGGAATTTTCCTGCGGACGCCACTGGCTGGGCCTACAGCTTCTGGGCAAAGGAAGAAGCTGATCACTATTTTAATACGTTTGTTTGTTACTGGTCTTTACCATATTTACTTTCTGCTACCAAATTTGCCATTTCAAGTTTCCTCACTTCACGTAGGTTTTTTATAATTGTCTTTTATAGTTGTTCTAATCAAAGAATTTTAATTGAATTGATTTTTAAATTACTCAAATAAATGCTTCAATCTTGTATTAGCTTTCCATCATGATGACAAAATAACTGAGACAATCAGTTTAAGAAAGAGAAAAACATTATCCTGCTCACCGCATCAGAGGTGTCAGATCACGGTAACCAGGCTCTGATGTTCGGGGCCTGTCTTGGCACAATGCATCCTGAAGTAGGGTTGGTGGAGGAGCCCAGCTCATCATGGTGACTAAGAAGGAGAGAGAAGAAGAGGAGGCTTGGGTCCCCACAGTCCTGTCCAAGGGCACATCCCAAAGATGTCACTTCTTTTCTCCAGGCGCCATCTTTAAAGGTTTCCCCACCTCCCACTGGTGCCCTTGGTTGGTGGCCAAGCTTTCAACATGGCCTTGAGCCGAGCCACGGTAATCTCCGATAAGCAGAGGTATCTCCCAGTACTCCCAAACCAGTAACGACTTCTCACTTAGCCAGTGAAATCCTCTCTATTCCTGGCTTGATAGCTAATTGTGATCCTAGAGTTTTCTCTTATCAACATCCTAGAAATACCGTTTTGCCTCTTCTGGGATTTTTTTTATAGATATCACGCTGAAGTTTTTTTTTTTTTTTTTTGCCTTTTTTCCTTTTTATCGGTACCAGGGATCGAACTCACGACTGCCTGCTTGCAAGGCAGGCGCTTATGCCGCTGAGCTAAATCCCCAGCCCCACGCTGAAGTTTTTTACTGTCACATTTCAGAAGAACAAATTATTCTCAGAAAAGGTTGCTGCAGTGGGAAGCCATCTGTTTGAAATTTAATAACTGAAAGAACTTTCGTCTTATCCTCCTCTAAGACTGACTGACTAGGTAATACAGTGGTCTACGTCGGGAACACTTTTTCCTCCAGAAAGTGAAGGCATTGCTTATTTCCCGAGTATATTTTAGTGTGTCACATTTTTCCTCATTATTTTTTGTGTACGGGTTTTGTCCCTTTCCCACGGTGCTGTGAAATACCACTACGACTGGCTCCACGCAATCCCTCTTCTGGCTTTGTGTCAAGGGCTCACTGGTACCCCTTAATCCGGACCTTATTGCCCTTAGAATCTCTCCAGTATCACTTCATTGTGATTGTTCCTCACTAGTGTTTTGGAACTCCAGTTATTTGAATGTTGGGCCTCCCAAACTACAAACTGATCCTCTCACATCTTTTTTGCTTTTTAATTCATTTTTGTTGTTCCGTCACTTAAGGGAAAAGGGCTACTCTATCTTCTGCCCTTGATATAAAATATCTCGCTTTCTTAATTGTGCTTTTTAATTTCCAAGAGTGCTTTCTCAGCGATGTTTAAAGGCACCCCATTGTACTCCATGGATGCAATCACCTCTGTTTTATTCATTGGCTTTACTGCCAACAGCACTTAGCTTTCTGTGGACTTGCACTCAGGCACTGTTAGCCCATCTACTTTCACGCTTCTAAAAGTTTCAGACACCTAATGGATGTTTTCTTATTTGTTACAATGCAAACTTCTCAGTTCCAAAGCAGACTCGCAGAGAGATTCTACAGTGAGCGCCCAGGCCTCCCATTTTGACTGCTACTGGATTCTCCAGCTCTCCAGCACACAGTCAGCCTTCTTAGATTCTTCTATGTCTGACCCTGAGGATAGTAATTATAACTCTTCTCCCTCTGATGCTGCAAGCCAACCTAGTAAGTCCCTTTATATAATTATTCAAATAAGTTATATTGATTGTGTTCCTTCAGATGGTCCTCAATAATACAGGTAGTTAACCTACATTAGAGCGATACATAGTACAAAATTATTTCAGCAAAAAATGTGCTACAAGGTCAAAAGCAAAGCAGTAGCTGGACCATCCAGCAGAGCCAGGTATGTGTGGATAAATGGGATACACACAGTGGTTATATTACCACCAGGATGATGTGCTATGGCTTGGTAAATAGTATTCGATGACTAGTAGTAGACTGATAATCGATGGAGAGAAATAAAACTGGTTCCTACCTTACATGCACACATAGAAAAACTCTTGGGCTAAACTTCTATAAAAAAATAAATCTCCCAGGCATGGTGGTGCATGCCTGTAATCCCAGCACTTGAGAGGCTGAGCAGGAGGATCACCGTGAATTCAAGGCCAGGCTGGGCTACACAGTGAGTTCAAAGCCAGCATGAACTACATAGTGAGACTATGTCTCTAAAAGCCAAAAATTTTTTAAAAAGTAAATCTATTAGTCTAATAGGAGAAGATGTGGGATGTCTTTGTAAACTCAAATGGAAAAGTCTTTCTTAACTAAGATCCAAATATTATACAGATTAAAGGGAAGATTACATGGACCTTGCTCACTCAAAACTGCTGATTTCTGTTCAGCCAAATTTAACACAGAAATGATAAACCAGGTGTGGTGGTGCATGCCTGTAATTCCAGCACTCGAGAGGCCGAGGCAGGAGAACTCCTGCAAGTTTGAGACCAGTCTGGGTTACATAGTGAATTCAGGGGCAGCCTGAACTGTACTGTGGAACCTTGTCTCAAAAAAAAAAAAAAAAAACCCTACAAAACAAACAAATAAAAAGTCTGAATGACAGATTGAGCTTTTTCCTGTCTATATCTGCAACAAACATAAAACTTCTCCAGATGAGCAAAGATGTCCATAATCCAATTTTAAAAAGGGGTAAGGGACAGGAGAAAGCTCTTCATATGGAAAATCAGGCAGAATACTTTTCAGTGAATGAATAAGTGTTTACTTTGCTAATAACCTGAGATACACAAATCTAAATATCAAATTATAGTGTTGATATCGTGTTGCCAAAACTCTCAAGGATGAATCATGTTAAATGCTAATGAGGATGTGTGTAAGTGGGAGCCTCTGCTCACGTGAGAATTCAGACCTCAGGGGGCTTTCTGGTGTGCAGTCAGGAAAAGTTATGTATGCAAGCTTCACTTCTGACCTGAGAATTCTCTTAGGGTATGTTCCATAGTGATTATTTTAGTGATGTGCACAAAGAAACTCTGGTTAGCAGAGAAACCTGCTGGAGTTAATCCGGCCGGCCTTACTTCCAGAGATTAATAATGATGTATACATACATACGCAGTGGGTATTAGCTCAGTGCCAAAGGAAGAAATTAGATTTACATGCATCAGCATACACATGATGAAACAAGGCATTACTTACATAAATTGCATATACACACGTGTACATTTAAGTGAATACATTAAAACAAATGTTTGAAAAAATGAATTTCTTTAGTAAAAAGTGCTCCAGACGAGGAGGAGAGTGGGACAGGGTGGGTAATGGATGAAGGATAAATTAATAATTATCACGAATAATGAATGAATGAAAGAAATACCATAAAAGGGACTTTGTAGAGATTGATGGTGAATGTAGAAATCAATGAACAATATGCCATAAGCTGAGGGAAACGGTTACTTTTGTTCATTTGTGGTCCTAAAAGATAACAGAAGGTGAAAGTTAGATGTCACTGATTGAAAAGTTATCCCTGGAGAAACTCAAGGCCTGATTGCAGAGTTGAGTAACACAGCTACAGAGGTAGCTATTATTCTCACAAGGACAGTAATCTCACCACCCAGCAGAACATTACTATATAATATGACAGAAAATCTATCAGAGGAAAACAGGACTGTGACCTTTTAGTGATCTTCCAAGGGAAAGCATTTTTCTATATTCCATTAGGACTGAGATTGATGATTCTGGTTTAAGGCATAAGATCTCTGATCACGTGTTTGGATTCTATAAGAGATTTGAGATAAATGGAGGATGGCTGGGTGCTCAAACCAACCTGCTCCTGCTCCAACTGAAGCAGAATTTTTGATTGAATAGCCCACCTTTTGCACTTTCCTGGTGTGTTCTAATTACTTAGGACAAAGACAAGAGAATGGAATGCTTAAATCTATATTGGAAACCGGCGGTTATGAAGGTTCTCCTGTATGCCAGGTCCTCATGTAGCTATCTAGATTAATGTGCATGACAAATCCAACCAGCAAGTGCCTTCATCTTATATTTTGCAGACAAGAACAAGAGACAAAATGGAAATTTCACAATGTCAACTGCTTTTTTTAAAAAAACTAATGTTCAAATCCAAAGTTTTTTCTTTTTTAAATACCTTATTTGAATCGAAGCCAAAATTTTTGACTTAACCTTCATCCCTAAAAGTCTAGGATTGCATCTCATCATCTACACAGATTTATCCAATGCTAGGAACACCAATCATAAGAGTTTCCAGTAGCTTCTCAAACTGCAGTACTGACAAGGCTTTCTGGGAGACAGTCCTAGGATGTCAGGATCCCACTTGCAGGCCACAGATGATGGATTGGGGACCAATAATGGCTGGAGGTGATCACTTCAGAGACCTAGAATGAAAAAAGATTTCTCTTGGAAGGTATTACAGGTGTCCACTGAGCAAAGTAAGGCATGTCTCTGGAATTTACAGTGGGAGGGCTGGTAACAGTGAGCTCCTTAGCAGACAAAAGGAAATGAAGCCACACCAGGGGTGACAGTGGCGGGCAATCAAACAGCACCTAGTTCAGTGATTTCACCAGAATAAAATCTGGAGTGGAGGTCCCTGGATTCTTGTTTCTGAGAGTGGGACACTCAGCATTTGTGCTCAGGACACCATCAAATTCAGGTCTTCCTGCAAAGTCACTTGAGTTTCCCAGCCTTGATGTGTGGCTTGGTTTTTCAGTTTTTCTTGTGTTCTGGTGAAGCCCCATCTCCAGTTAAAGATTTACATTTTCAACTTCCTTCAATGAATCCTTAAGTTAAACTCTCACTTACTTGAGTGAGATGGCGTGAGAAAAATCTGTTATATAAAGAAAATGATCCCAGTCCTCTGGGAGGCTGAGGCAGGATTATTCCAACTTAGCAACTTAGTGAGATTCTGTCTCAAAATTTAAAAAAACAAATAATTTTAAAGGGTACATAACCCAGTGCAAAGGCCTTGGCTTTAATCCACAGTATGAAAAAAGATAAAAAGAACAAAAGAAGAAAAGGAGACCAGGAAAAGAGAGGGAGGGACAGAGAGAGAGAGAGTGAAAGAGAGAGAGAAGAAATGGAGGGAGGGAAGGAGAAAGGAAGGAAGGAAGGAAGGAGCAAGCTAAAAGGAAAATGTGACCTTCCACTTTGACTAAGGAAGCCCAGTCTAGACTAAGACCAAGGACTGGCTGGGCATCAAATCCTGGTTATCATTACAGGATGCACATGGCAGCGGTGCTTAGAGGAAGCCATGGTGCGCCCC